GGGGGGGGGGGAGCGCCTGGGGCTGGGAGGCCCACAGCTCTGGGTCTTTCTAAGGAAGAGAATTGTCGCTGCCTTGCTTGGCGTTGGCACTGAGGCTCAGGGTGTTTGACGATGAGACAGGCGGCAAGCTCAGCCCCGCATGTGCACCACGTCCCTCTTTCTCACTCTACACCCGTCAGGCCTGGGTCACCCAGGTGATGCTTTGTGTGGCCGGAGAGGTGGCAACACAGGAGGTGCGTGTGGACTGAGTGGCAGGCAAGCCCTGAACTGCAGTCACTGACCCCAGAGTGGAGTGAGTGAGGCTGCCCCGAGGGTCGCTGCGTGAGGGGAAGGGGTGGCCCTAAAGGGAGCTGGGAGCCAGGACTGTCACCTTGCAGAGGCGGGAAGGGACTTCTCCCTGGGCTTAGCAGCGGCTTCCTTAGGAGCTGGCCTGGACTCTGGGAGCTGTGGAGGCGCAGCCGCGGAGCGAGGTGGCTGGGTGGAGGCGCGGGAGAACCAGGGAGCCCCTTGGGCTGAAAGTGTTGTGTCGTAAGTCAGCGAGCTGCATACAAGCCGCCTTAAGGAGCCAAGTAGTTAGGAGTCTTCATTACGCGCGGGCCCAGAGGGAGGTGTCTCCCACAGCCCTGAGCACAGACAGGGAGCACGTTTTCCCTATTTGTACCTTCCGAGCTCTGTCTGCAGGTTTTACGAAGAGCTTCTGTGCGAGTGATTTTTGCAGACAGCTTGTCATCTTGGATACGCAATGAACAAACACTTGGCATGAGAATATGGGAATATTATCAGTGTTAGTCTATTCCGTTAGGTGGCTGGCTTGCAAGGTCACACAGTTAAGTTTTTATATTTTTCTATTATTCAAACTAAGACCGTTACTTTACAGAAGAAGGGACTATCTAAAAATAACAGAGTTGACCTATAGAACAAGGGACTAAGAATAACAGAGTAGTTCAAACAGCAGTTTCAAACAGCAGTTTTCCGAAGGAGGGATTACTCTGCTTCGGAAGGAGCGGTATGTGAGGCTCGTGTCTGGAGGGGACTGTGGCTGAGACGTGGGGGACCGTGGGCGCTGTGGGCCCTCAGCCTGTGGAGCAGGGCGTCTGCAGGGGCTGGTGCTGGCTTTGTAAGGAGTGGAAGGAAAGCACAGCAGACGAGAGGGCGTGGGCCACCTCCTGGAAGACAAGCCCCAACCGGTCCTGCCTTGAGCCTGAGGACGCGCATTAGGGGCTTCTTTCTTTCAGGGTCGCAAGTGAGTTAAATACTTTCCGGTTGTGAGTCACCGTCTGGGGAGGGTTGTCCGTTCAATGTGTTGCCTCTTTTCCCGTCAGGCTGGAGGGGTCTCTACCCAGGTCATGGCTGTCCAGCCCCGGGCGTGGGAAGGGCCTGAGCTGATGGCAGTCCTGAGCTCTGAGCGAGTGGCCAGCGCCCAGGTTGGGTGCCGAGTGAGCCCCCCCCTACCCCCCCTCCGCCTCAGGCCCTGTGTTCCTTGGCAGCTTTTGTTTTCCTCCTGGTGCTGCCCAAGGCCTCGCCGAGCCCGTGGCTTGTTGGCTGCGTGTCTGGCTCCTTTCCCGGTGGCGGACCCTCTCGCTCCTGAACAGGGAGCCGCCCCGTCGGGCTGTGCCCGCCTCTGGGTGGATGTTGGGTCGCAGCAGGTAGAACCCCTGGCTGTCAGGGTGCGGATGCTTTGTTCTGGAGGGGTCTCCACAGCCCCCTTTTCATCCCGACAACATTTGGTGTAAAGTCTAAGTTCAACTTTCTTTAAACGTCACTGGGTCTGTGTCACAGTGCGAGTGTGGCCGGCTCTGCAGAGCGAGCACAGCCCACAGAGGGGTGCCTGGCTCTGGCCTGAGCCCTGGGGCGGGCGGCCCCTCAGCCTGGCCTGTGACCACGGGGTGGGGGTGGGGGCGCTGCTTTCCTCGCACGGTTCCCACTCACGGGAATGGTTCCGCCCTGAGTAGGACGGCGTTCAGCGTGAGCCCAGGACGCGTTCCTGATGGGAAAGGCGGGCCTGGGGACAGGAGGGACCGTGGCCCTCTCAGCGGTGGGGTGGGGAGGGACAGACACTCGCTCTGACCGCCCGCCTGGGCTGCCTGGCGGCTCCCGGCCACTCTCCCTTCTCTCAGTTTTGCAGGTGGAAGGCCGCCCACATGTCTTTCTGCCGGTGTCTCCAGTGTCTTTGGAAATGGAGGCGACAGTACGCAGGAGAAGCTCCTCCTGCAGGACGTGGCGGAGCTGATTCGAGCCAAGGCCTGCCAGAGGGTGGTGGTCATGGTGGGGGCTGGCATCAGCACGCCCAGCGGCATCC